AATGAGGTTTTTACGGTTTTTACAAATTGAGTGGTTTTCATTTGATCGCTCCCCTATATATATATATATGATGACAGGGGCGGAACACAACCGTTGTAGTCCGGAAGGCCGAAATATAAGAGTATCTTCAATAGATTTTTCAAAATTGAGAAAATTGATATTTTAGGCATATTTTTGCTCCAACAGATTCTCCAAAATTCTCCAAAACAGAGAAAACATGAGATAGTGTAAACAAAAAATGATTGCAATGAGTGAGAATCATTTTTTTTATCATATTCACACCTATAAGAATCATTGATATTAATGGTTTATGAGTCACTGACATATCCTTTTTTGTCTTTATTTGACCCCAATAATGGATTGGATTGAAACGACTTTCCTGCCAACAGGAGATTGGTTGGGGCGAGGAGCTCGAGCCCTGGTTTTAATAGAGTTTTAATTATCCATTTTGGAATTTTTTTTGAAGAATATGTTGAAGATGCTATAATATTGTAAAAATTTGTAAATCCAAATGATTCGTTTTTAGACTATTAAATTTTAGAAAAAAATTGATTAATGTAATATTAAAACTCGAAACATTCAAAATATTAACGGAAAAATAGTAATACCAACTTAGACATTATTTACATATAAATAATATATTATATTATTTACTCTAAAAACTTAACCATTCAAAGTATTAACCGAGAAATAGTAATACCGGTGTAATTTACTTTAAAAACTTATATTTACATATAATTAATATATTAAGTAAAAACTAATACATATAATTAAATATTAATAATTTATATAAAGTGCAGGGGAAAAAAATGTTTTTGAGGGGTTTTGAAACAGGAACCTCCAAGATGGAGGTTGTAAATAATTACCAATTGAGCTAGTTATTATATATGTTTTTAAAAGCTTAATTATAGTATTTAAATCTAAAAAGCGGGGAGGCCATGGCCCCCAAAGGCCCCCATGAGGTTCCGCCCATGTATGATGAGAGTTCATTTATTATTATATGTATATTTATGAAAGATTATCAAAATTTACCGATTATAATCAATGTTTTACATTTGTAAACAATTGAGATATTCACTAAATCGGGTATTCATTAGACTAGATTAATGGTTGAGATTAGGTTTGTATAATTTGTACTAATATGATAGTTTGTAAATGATCTAGGCTATATATATATATATAGAGAGAGAGAGAGAGAGAGAGAGAGAGAGAGAGAAAGAGAGTTTGTTTCAAATGCAACTCATTACATTTGTACAACTAATACAACCCAATAAATTGAAATATTTATGAAAATAATGAGAGTTCATTTATTATGATTTAAATATTTATGGAAGATAAATAAGGTTCATTAATTATGATCAATACTTTATATTAGGAAACAATCAAAACTTATATGAGATTACATATTCATCAAATTAAATGGACGGTTGAGATTGAGTTGTATTGGTTGTACAAATGTAGGGGGTTGTATAATAACCTATATATATATATATATATATAGAGAGAGAGAGAGAGAGAGAGAAACCAAATACCATGCAATATGACAAACCATACAAACCAATCTCAATTGCTCATCTAGTCTAACAAATATATGGTTTCGTAAATATATAGATTGTTTCTAAATATAAAGCGTTAATCATCATTAATGAACTCTAATCATCTTGCACAAATATTCAAGTCATAATAAATGAATCTTCATCGATTCTATAAATATCTTAATTGATCGGTTTGTATTTGATTTGTTCTCTCTCTCTCTCTCTCTCTCTCTCTCTCTCTCTATATATATATATATATATATATATATGTGGGGAAGTTCAGGGAAAAACCTCAAAAAATGAAAAATTAAAAAACCCTTCATCAACCATTAGATTAATTGATCTAATGGATGTGATTAAAGAGGAGGTTACAACTTTATTTTAAAAGTACAACGGTAGATTAATTGTCCAAGCTTTCTCCCATACACGCGCTCAACTTATTATCACAAGTAAAAAAAATCAAGGTATGAAAAATGCTCGTTAAATTTTGAGAGGTGCTCCGCGATATTAGAAAATAAAAGAAACATCAACCAAAAAATCGGGAAAAAAATTACCTAGAAATCAACCAAAAAACTTAAAATCCCTCGAATTCAACTAAAAAAACTTAAAATCCCTCGAATTCGGCTAAAAATACATTGGACGACTTTGTAGGCCTTTGATCCACCTTAAATGTGCATCCGCTTGACAAAAATCTTGGGTCCGTCACTGACTATTTTACAAAAATGTGAGAACGTTCATATCACATGTGATAATGCATACGAGTGATTGATAACAATTAACATGCACCGTAACCAACGTCATGTCAAAGGTTTCTAATTTAGTGTCATTTGTGATACAAACGTTTTTTCATTTTTGTAAAATGACGGTATTCTCGTTTTAACTCAGTATCCGTTATAAATATATTTAATTTACATCTACTTCAAATTTTAATTTCGATAATATATAATAATATTTGTTATAAGTTGCAAAAATAGTTTGATTTGTTGGATTAAATAATCTCTTAAATTTTATGATGTGTCAAAATGCAACAAGTTGGGTACTTTTTGTCTTTTTAAATTTAAAAATAATTAATACATTAAAGATGATTATTATAACTATTTATTAATATAATTATATTTTTTAATAAAAAATTATAATTAATGCCCGATAAACAGTTTTTTTAACAATAACAATATAATCTAAGGTATTTTTCTTAACGGTTTAATGACACCCATAACTTATTCTGTTAATTATATATGAATGTTTAATAGTTGATTAATGATGTAGAAAGTGGCTTATTCACTAAGTTTTTTAAATAACACGCTTTTTATATCTATGAAAAAACAATCTGAAACAAAAAAAAAATCCAATTCATACAGACAATTAATCTCCACGAACAGCTTTATTCATATATGATTTAATGAAAAACCAGCTAAACAACCCGTAAAATATAATTATAACAACTATTTATTAAAATAATTAAAGAGATGGTAAACAATTAATTTTTTTAACAAAAAAAAAAAGACAATCTAAATCATTTTATTTTTATATAAATAAGGAGTCGTTTACCTAAATGCTTACTCGGTAAGTGTTTATCGATAGGATTCAACATTATAATTTATTTTGATACATAAGATTTTGGTACATCAAAACAAATCGAATGCAACAAGTTATTGGGGTAAATGCTTACCTGGGTAAGAGTCATTATCCTTACTTATCGGGTAAGACTCTCTATCTTTTTTATTGCTCTTACCCGATAAGATCATTGGCCTTTCTTATGTTCATCCGATAAAGAAATTTATCCGGTAAGCACTTACCAAGTAAATGTTTAGTAAACGGCTCCTAAGTTTGAATTACTCATTTTAATTGTTGTAAAGCCAAAAAAAAAAAAAAAGAATTATCGACACAATGAGGTTGTTTCATTTTTTACCAATTCAACTGATACATATCAATCTCAATCATTCATCTAGTCTAATAGTATTTGATTCAACGGATATTTTAATTGTTTTCTAATATAAAGCATTGATCATAATAAGTAGACTTTGATAATCTTTTATGAATATCAAAATCATAATAAATAAACTCTTATCATTTCTGTAAATATCTTAATAACCGAGTTTGTAAAATATATCTCATTTATAATAATATATATTTTATTACATATTTATTTTATATATTTAAAAAATACTTTATGAATCTTTGATCAACATGTTGTCCAATAAATATCTTGGTGATTAAATGATGACGTATGCAGGTAGAATGTGTACAAAATGAGTTGTCAAAAATGTTTCTTCGTCAACCGCTACTCTTTATAAAATTAGTGGATATAAATTTGAATCATATTTGATAAAAAAAAAATTAAGAAATTAATTATTTTTAATATTTCATAATATCTATATCTATATTATCTTATAAATTATTTGACTAAAACTCTTAAAAACTCTTAAACTCGTTCATCCCTAAACGATTTCAACCCTATCCGGTTTTATCTCATATCTGAATTCGTGTAACTAAATGCAGATAAACATAATCAAATACAGGATAAACATCTCATTTTAAATATAAAAAATCTAAAATATAATTAGTATAATCATTAAATTCTAACAGAATACTTAATTATTATCTTTATAAAATTTATAATATTAAACTAAAAATAAACTGTTTT